GAGAGAGAGAGAGAGAGAGAGAGAGAGAGAGAGAGAGAGAGAGAGAGAGAGAGAGAGAGAGAGAGAGAGAGAGAGAGCCAGGGCACAGGAGGGTACGGATGTACATGAGGAGGGGGGATGATGAGCGGGGAAGGGAAAGTCTGCCGGGAGGGGGAGGAAGCACATGAGGGAAAGTCGAGAAAAGCTGTGAGGAGGGGGGGAGGAATAAGCAGCAGTGCTAGCACAACAACAGACTGACATGACAACATTGAACCTTGGTGAGGAATAGGCAGTGAAGCGACTCTGGCATCGTCCGCATTGATGACGCAAACGTCTCCCTCATTCGCCGTATCAAAGAGTTCACCCTTTGCTCTTGCAATGTTTTCAATGCTTCCTAGCTGGACAGATCCAGAACAGAAAAGACAAAAGAAAGCGAGGAATTAAAAAGGAGAAGTGAGAAATTATTGAGACTGATGACTTGGAGAAGTGAGGAATTATTGAGTCCGGCTCAGAGCACACTCACACTAGCACTTTTTGGACTCAGCTCTGGACGTGAACGGGGTCAGATGCATCCAGGTGCGGCTGCAATTGCAGTCAGATGCATTTAAAAAAGTGCTAGTGTGAGTATGCCCTCATTCGCTACAACATTTAAGAACTTTCCTTGCTGCTGATCTTGCAAGCCGAGCACATGAAAAGGCAAGTCTATGTTATTTAAATTTTAAAGTCTATGTTTTTTTTAAAAAAAAAATTCCCCTTTTTTGGGGGGAGAAAATGTGAACTACTTCTCGATCAGGAATCTAGGATGTGTCACCCTTGTGGAGGGGACATGCTAATCTTCTTTGCCTCGTTCCAATTTTCTTTGTTCTTGGAACGACAGTGGGAACCTTCACCTCTTTTTTTCTTTTTTCCTATTTTTTGGACCATTTGGTCCATTTCTCAATTTATGCGAGTCATACTTGCAAAGGGGCCATGCTAATCTTCTCTGTATCACTCCAATTTTAACGCATGTCCCAAACGGCAGTGGGAACCTCATCTTTTTTCCTTTTTCTTTTTTCTTTTTACATCGGACCATTTCTCGATTTATGCGTGTCATCCTTGCGCAGGGGCCATGCTAATCTTCATTCTCTGCATCATTCCAATTTTAACGGATGTCCCGAAGGACAGTGGGAACCTTCATCTAACCCACGACTCCTGAGAATTTTCACATAGGGAAACTGGTTCACCACGCATGCTTCCACACCTGACCGCATTTTTGACCAGATACAGGTTGCTTCAGTTTGACAGACTTATGAAAAGACCGACTCAGCAGTGGCTGCACTGACTGAGATGACTTGCCCACACTGAGCTAGTTTACTAATTACTAATTAGTAATTAATTAGTAATTCCTAGTTAAGGATTCCCGAATTTTGGCTGAAACAACTCAGATTCCCTCCGTTGGTACACCCTTGAACTGTTGTGATACGGACCTGGGTACGAATCCAGATTCAACTAGACGAATGGAAAAGAAGAAAAAAAAAGGAAACTCACATTCCTACAGCTGTGACTGCGCCATCCCGCTGATGATCAGACACAGACTGCCGACATTGTGCCGTCTATTCTAGAGAGAGAGATGCATGGGAGGTGGCCGCATTCCAGATTATCCAGACGCTATACTTGGTTACCGGACGCTATGGAGGGCCCTACCCAGCTAAGCAAGCTCGAACCTGGCCGTAAACCAGTCAGATTTGACATGAGCAGCTATGTTTGTGCTAAGGAAACATGAACTTGGCCGTAACACCGGTCAGATTTATGCTCACTTAGTACTAACACACCACCATCGGTGTGCTAACTCTGTACCACTCTCCCCACATCACACTAGTGAGGCCTCGCCCTTATGTTCGAGGATTGAGACCAGAGTTGTGGGGTACACAGGGGTGACCCGTTTCTGTCACTCTATGATAGATACATTTCCGGCTGTTCGGGTCACCCTTATGTTCAGACTGTTCAGACTAAAACTCTGCATCTGGTCTCGGACACAGTTTGTGTTCAGACTGTTCACACTCATAACAACAAGCAGACAGAAGGTTCTGACTTGAAGAAGAAGACGGTAGCTTCCATGAACAAGTTGATGGCAGTGCCTAACCCCAACAGCAAAGGCGTGTCATTCCCGCTTACAGCGCCTGCAGCGCTCCCACTGCATCACTACCCTTCTGCCCCTATTGCCGCCCCAGCTATGGCAGTCGTCTTCCTCTCAGCAGCGGAGTCACTTTCCAGCGTGGCAGCTTCTTGCCTCCAAAACGAGAAGAACCAACAGCTCCGTTCTACTTTGACCCAACTCTATTTCTAGATTCCCCGGTTTACCGGACCCTGGGACCTAAGACACTACGAAACAAAATGGGCCTGCGTCCTCCAGTCACGACGGTACCCGTCCCAAGCCAAGTGGTAGACGAAAAACTTAGGACATGGGCAAATCTCAGATGGTTCTCGGAAATGTTCGTCTAGGGCTTGGCCTGTTGCAGTAACTGGTTCGAGGGCAGACTTCAAGAAACTACAAAAACAGCCTGGTTACTTTCACACCCCGCTAAGGGACAGATCCCACTTCTTTCCGTTTTCGTAAACGCTCAAAAGTTCCACTTTTACTGGACCCATCCCGGCCACTTTTACTGGACCCATCCCGGCCGGCTCGTGAAAGGAAAATGGGACCCGACATGACCTGTGATCCCGGGACTTTTTCGAGGGAAGCGGCGTGTTTTTGTGGGCGGGTGTGCAGGGTCCAATTTCGGGGGGTCCGTTTGGATGCGGTGACTTCTTCCCGTTGGGGGGCGGCGGTAGCAAACCTGTTGTCAAACACTGGAGACTGAGGTCGGACATTCCAGGACTACCGTTAGGACCAAGCGAAAAAATAAATAAAAAATGCAAACCTTCTGCCTTCTTTTTCGGTACAAAGTACAGGGTTGGCCTCTTCCCAAAATCGGAAGAACTACGGCCCCTGCAATCATGCTCGCGCCTCCACGTACGAGAACGTTTCCACATCCGCGACATTCCGGGACGGGATCTTACTTTCGTGGAAAGAAGTGGGATCGCAAATTTTGAATAAAAGTGCCCTGCTTATAAGCAGTGGGATCTGGCCCTAAGAATGCCCAAGTTCATTGCAGTATATATAGTATATAGTACTATATACCATAACTTACGTAAGCATCTAAATAGGAACATCCGTTAAAATTTGAATGATACAGAGAAGATTAGCATGGCCAAAAAAAAGGGTGCCTGTATAATAGTAAATGGCAGGAATAATATCTCATTGACACTTCAAACGCACTGGTGCATGAACCCTTTGGATTCCATAAGACGATACGAAACAACTCACACAAGTTACAAGCAACATGTTTAATAACGCCAGTGGTCTCATCAACCCATCACAATGCTTGCTCATGGCCAGCCTCTCTCCCACTGCCTGGCCCAGGCTTGGTGTATTTTAGCTGTAACTGTGCTTGTCACTGCCGGCATCGTCGTCTCCTTTCTTTTTTGTGCATCGAAAGGGTGGTTAGCCTCTTACATTCTTGTATATCCATCTGACCTCCGGAGGATTCAAAGTTCGAACCCATGATCTCTTGTTTACAAACACGTGTGTGTGTACCTGTTCAGACGCATGGGCTGTGTACATCTTAATCTCTCCTTACTTTGGCCACCACCACTCAACTGGGTTGGATGGTTCTTCAATTGTTGTCAAATTGTTCAGTTGTCTCTTCCATCGGCCCACCTTCCATGCTTGTGTTTTAGAAAATGGGGTTACAATCTAGTGGATGTTTAAACTTTGAAAAAATAGCTTTCTGAAATTTCTGCTGAAAGGTCTGTGAAGTTGCAGATGCTACAGTCTCTACGACTATCGTGGCTTTTGAAAAGATGAATTTGATGCTACCCATGCATGCTTGTGGATGACAAACATGTTTGTTTGTTTTTTTGGTTGTTGTTGTTGTTGGGGTGGTGGCGGTTGTTGTTGTTGTTGTTGTGGTGGTGGTGGTTGTGGTTGTTGTTGTTGTTGTTGTTGTTGTTGTTGTTGTTTGTTGTTGTTGTTCTTGTGAGCTGTCTCTTATACACATCTAGATGTGTATAAGAGACAGGTTGTTGTTGTTGTGACCGTCTACATGCGGTGCGATGTCCTCTTTTTTTGGTCTTTTTTTTTTTTCTATCTATACTCTTTATAAAGGGAAGAGCGGGTCTCGCGTGACGCTGCCACGAGCCCGGGCTCCCTGTGTTGGGACAATGGCTGGGGACAAGGCGCGGGCCCAAGGGAAACCCGCAGAGATCGCAGTTTTTTTTTTCCCTTCCATACGCACGAGTTCAAAGGCTGGCATGCTGCTGTGGAGGCGCTTCGGCGTGACGGTTCGCCGTGTTTTTTTTTTTGCGCACTTGCACGAGTTAAAGTGCTGGCGAAAAGAAAATTGCGTCTGCGATGGGCGCCACGTAGTTTCTGGAATCGAAGCAGACCAACGGGCGGCATTGGGAAGTCAGTGCAGGGGCGGGCCCGCGCACATGCATACGTGCCGATCGAGGTGTGCTATGGAAGCCACCATCTTGTGATGCGCCTTGCAAAGTACTTCTTGGGCATCGCGCGCCCCCTGCGTTATGCGCCAACATGTGTAAACCCTCCACGTGACTATGGATCCATGTAGCAGAGTGTTTCGTCCATTTTTCCTGATGTGTCAGTGAAAACCTGACCGCGCCGCATTTCTTCCTACCTCCCATCCTACCAATGGTCATCGTCCTCCTCTTCTTTTCGCTCCTCCCGCATCTTGCTAACCAGACCCCCGATCTCCTCCTCCTGTTCGTCGACCTCCTATTGCTGCTCGATGTCCTCCTC